TACAGCTCAACATCACTGCAGCGCTGCACATACAGCTCAACATCACTGCAGCACTGCACATACAGCTCAACATCACTGCAGCGCTGCACATACAGCTCAACATCACTGCAGCACTGCACATACAGCTCAACATCACTGCAGCGTTGCACATACAGCTCGACATCACTGCAGCAGCCAGATCAGTAGAACATTTTCCACAGGTGCTCCAGAATCATGTCGATGCTTGATTGCCCGATGTCCATTAGGGTGATTCCTTGCAGGGTGGTAAACGCCATCGCTGGGGCTCACGGTGCGCCATCTCTCTGAACGCTCACAATGGTGGCAGGCCTTCTTTGCACCAGACCATCCACAGACGGGAACTGGAATGCCTGCAGCCTCTTCGCACACCAGGCCACCTGACCCCAAAGCTCCCACGACATACAATATTCACTGCAGTTTGCCCCTCCTGCCTCCCTCCTGGACTTGGGAGGGCAGTGTGCTAATTCCCACGTTTCTGGGAACCATGTCCACAACAAAGGGGGCTTTCAGGTCAGGGAAGGCTAACACTAGAGTGGTGATCAGCACCCCCTCACTTCCCTGGAATGCTGGCTCACACTCTTTTGTCCAGTAGAACTCGGTCCCCTCTTCCGTCAGGCATCCAGGAAACTCCTCCACTCCTGTGCCACCCGCAGCGACTGTCAGTTCCTCACAGTTGCTACCTTCTCTAGGTTTGTGGACGTTCCTTCAGCATCTACTATGTGGCCCAGGAACTGCACTCATCCCTGGAAGAACAGGCGCTTAGCAGGGTTGAGCTTGAGACCAGTCCTCTGCATGGTGGTGATGACTTCCTGCAGGTTGTTGAGAGTTTTGTCAAAATCTCTAGCCTGTATCCGGAGGTCATCCAGGTGCATGATTCACCAGCTGAGTGGTAACTCCATGAGTGCTCAGTCAACTTCTCAACAGTGGCAGGGACATTGCACAACCCAAAATGCGGGATTTGAAGTGCCTTGGTTCTTGTCTCAGGGAGCATTAAAGTAAGCTCAATATAGCACAAGGCCTACTAATTTCTTGTTTCCATCAAAAGGCCATAGATATAATAATATCCACATACTAAGTAGATAATATCCATCTGTATCATATATTATGACAGAAACCAAAACAAAATCATACCATTCAGTATACATATTTAGTTAGTAATCTAACAATATCAACACAGCCAATTTTTTCTTGTTCTATAAAACCAGAAAAAACATAGCTGCACTTTACATGCAATATAATAAAATTGCAATGAGGTACTAAATGCACGCAATCCTTGGAAAAAAAATCTTTGTTCTGCAGTATCCTACCTTATATTGCTAAGCAAATTAAAATTTTATTTGGGATTAATAAAGTATCTATCTATCTAAATTTTTGTAATTTTATATAAACTCTTCTGGCTATTTTCAGCTGTGAATTGGCTATTTGGGTTGGGAAATAAGAACCATCTAGCGTTCTTATCGTAGAATCATTCCTCATAATCGCATCAGTTCTTTAAACAGCTCTGACAACACTTTTGAACTGTTTTTACGAGAGTGGATTGTTACGTAGTTACGCATGCAGCGAAGTTTTACGTATATATGAGTCTTTAATGTTCATCTAATTTCCTTCGTATACTCATATGCAATCCTCCATATCAAAACACTTGTCTGGGACAGGTGGAGCTGACTCATCCTCTTCCTTAAGGGGCAGCTGTACTGGTGCCTTGCAAGTTATTATTTTCTTGATTATCCGCGCATACATAGCATTTGGGTCTTCTGCTTTGCCTTCAAGTGGAGTAGGAGAGATTGCTACTGGGTCTTCTCTGTATCTTCTGTCAGCCACATGATTTTTTTGGGAGGAATGACAGGTCAGCTCCTCGATAGTCTGGTAGTCTCGGTCTTCAGAGTTATCCTCAGGAAAAGCTACACCCAGAACATCAGGGTTATGGTCTCTGCTGCACGTCTCCTGGACAATTTCAGAAGTGTGCTGTTTTCTCTCTTGAGGCTGTTGCAGTGAGCATTTTAAGTTTTTGGTTCCCGTCGTAACATCTTCCGGAGTCGGAGGTAAATGACTGCGCCGCGCTGCGTGCATACGTGACACGCCCATGTGTGATGTTTGGTCCAATCCAGTGAGTTCTCCTTCTGAAGCGGCCTTTCCGGCGTCTTCTTTAGAAATATCGCCACCAGTCTTCAGGGTCAGCCTCTCATTAGAGTTTGCACTTAGCTCGCCTTCTAGGGAATAAAGGGATAGAAAAACAACCTCAAAATAGCTGGGTTTTTGCGCATCATAACTCAAAAGAATTGTGGCCGCAGTAGCAGTTATATGATCCAATAATAACCACTATGATGCTCTCTGAGGCAACATGTAACTGCAGAGAATAACAATTGGCCATTGAGGTAACTTATATGTGTCATGGGCTGACACTCCTGCCTCCTGCCTCGGCCTCCTGGGACAGGCCCCAGCCTGGCTACCACCACACAACGGATAAAGGGCTACGGAAAACGCATGGAAAGAAAATGTACAATGTTGCTGGATTATGGAAGTGTTTCAAACTGTCAAACTGTAAGGTTACTGCAGTGGTTTTGCCACCTAAATTTATCCAAATAAACTTGCTTTTGTCTAAAGAAGTATCTGTGGTATTCAACTGGCATGATGACAGGACAAGCCTGTCATGTTTGAAACCATCCTTTAATTATAGTCTTTTCAGAACTGTATGCTATATGGCAATGGTTCCCTCGGAGACCCACAGACGGTCCACGTTTTTGCTCCCTTCCAGCTCCCGGCCAGAAAGTCCACATATTTGCTTTGGAGTTGGGAGGGAGCAAAAATGTGGACTGGCTGTGGGTCCCTCGGGACTGGATTGGGAAAAACTGATATATGGTAATAAGCTCAGTTTTATGGTGGGGAAATTGTCAGACTTACCAGCATAGACAGGTACTCCACTGTGGCTTCTCCAGGGTGGATACCACAGGGTTCCTTCCTGGTCTGTAGCACTTTGCAAACTCTTATTTTCTGGCACTGAAGTAAGAGCAGGGTCACCTAAAGAAGAAAGCTGTGGTTGCTTGGGCAGATGCGTTTTATAGCTACTTTCATTTTCTGTCTGCTACACTATAATTAAATGAACATCTCGCAACGCTTAAAGATAACAGTTACAGAGTCACAGATCCACACTGCCCTAAAAAGGCCTCTCGTCTGTTTTCTTGTATATAACATCAGACTGTCTAATAAGCAACACAAGTGCATAAATGAACTTTGAAATGAAATGGGAGTTAAAACAATTATATCGTACATTTGGTATTAACCTTCCGACTGTTAATTATAATTAGATTTCCAAAGGTACTAGCATGTGTCTGCATAGTACAGAATGTATCATTGTCAGAGTGGCGATCGTACCTTTCTGGTCTGTGAGGTTAGTGTGCCACAAACTGTCTTTGCCTCCTGTAGCTCCCCCTATAGGAGACTGTGGGATACAACAATGCAGAGTGTACACTGACACACCGAAGGACTACACAGATTTCAAGTACACTTGGCAAGGCTTGTGGGAGAATCTCAGACAGCTAAAGCATGGAGATGCCTGCAGATGTCTGCTACACAAATGATTTTCAAAACCTAACCACTGTAACTTGGGGGTAGAAGATCACATAATACTGTAAGGCTGTACACATAAGGCGGAGACAAAAATTATTGTCACTCTACCTAGAACCGGGCAAAAGATTTCACCAATGTTGGCTTACCAAATATAGGAAATATATATTTAATGATTCTGAGGACTGTGTTTAATACACTTTTACAAGTTGGTCACTCACCACTCTTATGAGCTGTAATGGTGGTTGTACCTTTTCAGAGTTCTCTTGATGCTGCAATGTGTGTCTAGAAAAATAAAAGCAAACCGTGTTGTCTCAACAGTCTACTATTTGCTATTGTTGGCTAAACGACCAGTGCACACTCATGCCCATATGCAGACAAGGTGCCCTCTGGTGGTGAGCATTAGTAAACACACTGTTCTTTTCCTTTAACGTAGAAATATGGTGGGGCTTAGTTTAAAAAAATATTAAAATGAATTCAGTCACATAGGCTATTCGCTGGCTGTATAAATAAATCCTTGAAAAGAAGAGTAAAGAGCACAACATAATTGTGCATCACATATGATAATTATTATTTTGAATACTAAAAATGTTAATTGTTGTTATAGAATTCATTTCAGATTTTACAACAATGATGCCAAAGTAATCGGACACTTTCTGCCTACGATTACTTTTCCAGAGCACAAGTTCTCAAGTTCTGAATATTTGATACCACAAATTTATTATTATTATTATTATTAGTATTAGTAGTAGTGGCCGTCGTCTTAGTATTATTCAGAAGCATATGCATGAAATGAAGTTAAAAACTTCTTCAAACCATTCAGATTTATAGTTTGCTATTTTCCCAGGCTCGTTCCTTAGCGTTAGCCTCACTGAGTGACATGCCTTGGTACACCAGACACTTCCCATAATGCACTGGGCTGAAAACCCATGGAACGATCTATTTGCGCTCGGTATCCAGGGCCAGATGTTGAACAGTGGGTGGAATGCTGCTGGTCTGTGGATCTGAGGCTAGCTCGTACCAGATTTTATGGAAAGTACTTTCTGCCCTGGAGTAAGATGCATATCTACTCAGCCATTTCGGGGGGCTTACATACCTATCACTGCTTGACAATGCTATCACTAGGGCAGTGACTCAGTCCTATAATATATGTATAATAAAATGCATTACCCCTTAGGTTTCTTTAATTTCTTCAGGCAACAGTTTTTACAGGCGTATTATTAAAAGCAATTAATAGCAAAAAGAGAAGGGGGAATGGATGACTGACTTGTCGCATTTGTTACAAAGAGACAGAAGTATGATGGTTATGATAAGAAGGACGGCGATGCAGTAGAAGCTGGGATCCAGCGACAGTGTGCCTGCAGACAGCCAGCCCCCGGGGACTGGGCCTTGCGGAGCCATTGGTATTCATCCACTGCCAGAAACACAAATAAAACTGATTAAAGGACAGTCCGCCATTGTTACACGTGGGTATGCAGATCACTGGTAGTCACTAGGTCATTAATCACAAGGCATTTAAAAGAGGCACTGTAAATGGCTCTTATTTTTCAAGTTAATTATCACCTTAAATATACGATGAAATGAGGTTTCATATTAGTTATAACACGCCCTGGCTTAATTCAGGAAAATATTTCACTGAACATGAAGAATGCCATGCTGGTTTCAGACCGCACAGGGGTTCCCAGCAGAGTTTTTTTTTTTTAATTTAATATATGTATATTTAAACAATACGTAAGTTCGTCAGCAGGTGGCGCACAGGTTAAGCGTATCAATGTCAAACAGCAAATTGCGTAACGAGAAACGACTCTTCATCTGTGACATGTGAAACACATTAAATGCCAGTGTCGTTAATGAAAGTAATCAATGAAGCCTTTATTGAAAGAGTCACATTTGTCCCTGTCGCGTCTTTATGGACGAATAATTTAAAATAAGGTACTAACGGTATCTATGTGGTACTACCCGTATTACCGGTATTATATAGGCTATGAGGAATTATCGTCGAGATGTGTACGCCAGATAAGTTTAATTTCAGTGATTTTATACTGATGAAACTATGTTTTCACGTAAACGTTACAGTCAAGATCCTACCAGCTGATACAGCCACCCAGTGGACTATACTGCGTGATGTATTCATCCGCTTCTTTAATTAATCTCCACTCTGTGCATAGGGGAAAAGAAAGATCTTCGGTATACTATTTCTAATATCGCCAATCAAATAATAATTAGAAAAGTATTAAATTGTTCAGGCACAGAACTGCTGTATGTTTGATAAACTAGCTCAAATATTTAGAATAATTCATGCCTTTTTGAATATAATCGAAAATGTGGAAGTATTGAAAATGAAGCATCCAAATGACCTGTGCTACATGCTAACGTGGGTTCCCTCATACATCGATTTGAAGTCCCCCTTTTCCTGTCCCTTTATGAATTATGAAAACATGTAGATCTTTGGCAGCTTTAACAGTTGTGTGACTTTAATCTAAAGATACGATAAGAAAATCATAACCTCAACATAATCCGCATTTTCATAATCTTTGACATAAAGTGTTGATCTCCATATGCTATGAAAATGTAGACATGGTAGTATAACACACATGAACATTTACAAAAAAAAGCCTGACCTGTGGCCTTTGTGCTTTAGAACAGTGGTTCTCAACTGAGGGGCCAAAGCCCACTAGGGGGCGTCAGTGAGGTCACACAATCGATTTGAGAATCGTAGAAAAAGTAGATTTTGCTAAAGCTAAGCTATATGGATTTATTTATTTATTAATTACCGTATTTCGATATTTTTTAAACGATATACATGATGACACAGTACCATTTATATCAATATATTTTAAATATGTTTTATGAAAGATTTTATCAGAAACCAATAGCATTCCTTCCTGGTTGTAAACAGTGTGAGCGCTTTGCTCATGTATTACACAGAATGCCAGCATTCACAGCGAAAATCAGACCATTCAGTTGGCATTTCACAGGGAAGTTAATGGAAGGGAAACACATATCATTGTCATTTCATTCATTTCATTTTAAAATATTGTTAAAAATATCACAATTTGCAATATTTGTTTTTATTGTGTTGAAGGCTAATAACTTAAAATGAGAGTCTTTTCGGTCATTATGTGCAAGGTTGCCAGGCTTCTGATTTTAGAGCTATTTTCAAAATAAGTTTTTCATTTAGGTATTTTTTTAGTCCACAAACATTTACCTTCTGTTTTCAAAGCAATAAGCAATATCATGAACAGGAAGAAAAAGAGCATTTTGACATAATGGAGTGAAACCTTGTTTGAGTCTTGTTCAATAGAAATTACATTATTTGGCTGCGTAACCAAATACCTAAAATATGTTTATATTAGTAAACATTGGCAATTTTTGTCAGAATTGCAGAAGGCATAGAAGAGAAACAATATCACAATCCAAGTTCACAGCCCAAATACATAATCAGTTTATATTCAGGTCTTCAGACAGTTTGAAGATTTGCAATCAAACTGTTATCTAAACCTAGGTCTGCAATGATCCTGAGCCTTTGGAAGAGTTGGAATCATTGAAAATTGTTTATTTTTTTCAGTTGGAGCAGAAACAATTTCTATTAAATTACTATTGTGCTTGTGAATGCGTTGTAAAATAATTTTCTAATCCATTTCACAAATGTAAAACTAATATATACACTTATACTTACAATGTATATAACACTATTCTATTTTATGGACTTGATTTGCCTTAAGAATGTAATTTGTGTGATTTGTTTATTATTAGTTTTTAGTAATGCAAAATGTGCTTTGCAGATTAAATGGCTTGTATGTAGAACTTTTGATTGCCCTCGTACAATGTCTAACATCTCACAGAAAGTGCTACACCTAGTGTATGATATAAATATTTAACCTGATAGGATAAATGTTCATCGCCCTGAATCCATTAATGAGAACTTCTAGCTTTTAACAAGTATTTAGTCTTATCTAATCAATCTAAGATGACATAGGACTAGGGTTGCAAAATTCTAGGAATATTCTTGTTAATTCCCATACTTTCCCGTTAATTCCCATGGAAAGTTTCTAATGAGGAATATTTCCAAAATTCCCAAGCTTCACTTCCCATGGAACGGAAAGTTTCAGGAAAATTTCCAGAAATTTTCCAGCCCTTTGCAACCCTACATAGGACACACCCTTCCTTGGACTTTTACTGCTTATTCAGCTGAGCTGACAGACCTTTGAGTTTGGAAAAGCTAGGCCTCAACTTGAAAGGCAACAAAATTCTCCATGACTCTAACAAGTTGGTGGTAGTTTAAATGTTATCACATTTAAAATCTCAAAATGCAAAGCAAGGCTTTGTTTTCAGACACCACCTATTAATATGTTTTAAGTAAGACTATTTGGTGCAGTGTACCCAAACCTGCTTTTAAATAGTGTAACATTTGCAAATGTAGCTATTTGATTTTTAAAAGGAGAAGAAAATGGCTGGTTTGTGGTCTTTGCACACAATGTCACGGATGGCTGTCTGACACCTACCTCCTTATGTACAAGCAGCTGGTCTTAGGATGGATGGTGTGATCCACACCCCTCTGCTCAGCCTTCCGGGGGGGGGGGGGGGGGGCTACATCTAAATTGTCCGCCACCTCCTGCTCAGATCAGCTGCTTGCTCCGTTCGCTGTTTGCTGAGGCACAGTGATCAGCAGCAACACTAAAAATGGACTTTGAACAAAGCAGCTTCCTCATTTTCTTCTCATGCTTATTCATTGGATGGTTGCACTTTTTTCACTGTCACTGAACATAAATATTTTCCATTGAGGAAGACGTACTTTGAATAATACGTAACTGCACCACAGAAAATAATGTAGGCAACACACTTTTATGCTTAACTCGTATACTAATGGATTGTTTTATGTACAGTAGTAGTGAAAAGTCTGGACACGCCTACTGAACATTGTTTTTCAGCAAGATAATGACCCTAATGACACCTTGTGGTTATGTAGTAAGTATTATCTTGTGAATAAGCAAAGAGATGGAGTGCTGTGACAGATGACCTGCCCCCCCCCCCAATCCCCCAACCTAAACCCTATAGAGCTGGTTTGGGATGAGTCGGATTGAAGAGTAAGAGCAATAATAATAATAATAATAAATAATAACATAATAAATGATGTTTTACATGCATTTTGTATGTGCTCCTGATCGCTGGATTCACACACTTATACATATGCGATGCCATACCATGTCAGATTAAGGGGGCCCAGCACGTCGTAGGGGCTTTGCAAAATCAACTGAGCGATTCTAAGTGCCAACCTGAGCAGGGGGCCCAAGGTGACATTTTCTCGGGGGGGCGGGATGTCTAGCTACTCCCCGGGGAGAACATTTCATTCCCACCCCTAGATGTTTGAGGCTACATTGCACCCACTGAGCCAGTCTGCCATTCATCGGCAATTTACATTTCTCTCTAAATATATAATTGATATATACTTACAGTGTGACAGTACCAGAGGTTTACCAGTTCATGCTGTTTTTAAATGCCAAGTACTGTGCTTCTTAATGAAATTAAAATTCCTTTATAATTGCATTATTTGGTATATTTACAAAACAAAATAAAATGAAATATTTGCTGTTATGTATTTTAAACATGTTTTTCATTTAATTAATTATTTTACTTTTTAATTGATTAATACCAGTGTTGGGATTGTTCTATAGGTAACTTTTTAACGATATGGTCATGTATCGCAATGAATATTGAGATATATTTGTGTGACGTTAAGTACATGCGCCGTATTATTATTATTTCATTGTGTTGTTTGTTACCGTGTGCAGACTTAGAATTCTTTCAAAGCAAACTGCTGAACAAATGATTCTGCTGATTGTATCATCCGTCTGTTTTCTGGGCAGGATCATGTGGCTAAATGTCTACCTTAATCGGGTTTGAGGTTGGCAAGGGTACTGTAAGACCTTTCCACCGTGGGCTATGAGAACCACAGCTGACAACCACAGTTCTAGTCAAATAAACCTCAAACAGACATTAGTACTTCTGCATACTTGTATAAAAATGGTCTTTGTTTTTGCCTGCGCTTTGGGAACTACTGAAAATCTCAGAAAAAGCAATACTTGAGTAAAACTCTATGACATATATTTTGTAGAAAACACTGACACTGTTGCTTCCCACCAAACCAAGCATTCCATAGCTACTTAACCAGTAGAGGGTCATAGTCAGCTTAAGGCCTGTCCAACTCACAGGATAGATGTTCACACAATTCAGATAAACAGATTGCTATAATCAATATGCATGAAAAAGCAGAAGATATTTTAAGAACTTAATTTTCATAAACAAAATAACACAGCGATTTTTTTTTCTCTCAGTTCCTCTTTTATTGTGACATTATTGGCCCATAGTATACACTCTAGTGCGCAACAGTTTACATTTAATAATGGAGAATGACCAAAACTGGGGAACATCATCAAAACAGTTCACACACTGTCACCTTCTATGGGCAATTTAAACATACTGGGTTTTTTTTGACTGCAGGAGAAAATTCACTCTGAAAAACACAGAACCAGGGACAGGAATCAAATCCACAGTCCCGAAGATGTGAATTACCATACCGCCCTTTTTGACAAAAGATGAGGCAAAACATTAACTTTATTAGTCTGTTACCTACCTGAAAAATACAATGCTTAAAAATCTGAAATATGATTGTGCATTATTGCAATAATCATGACCATTGTATGTGACAGTTTCATAAACATGCAGTGGCTACAAAAAAAGGTGTATTAAGATTATGTCGTCTTTGCTTTTACACAAGTGCAGCCGACAACGATGGAAATGAAAGAGGCCTGGTAACAGCTCAGTGATTTAACGTGATTCAGCACCAGCATGCTCTGATGGATCGGTACCGAGTTGAACCGTTCGTCCAGCTCAGCCACTCCAGGCCTGGCTTTCGGGTTTAGGCAGTACATAAAGCTGCACACTGCCTCTGTGATTGTCTTGGGGATGCGGCTTTCCACATGGTTTAGTCTGAAACAGGAAGTAAGGAGTCAGATTTTACCCACGGTGCACTTGGGATGGTCTGTCATTTTCTGAAGGTACTGTTGTAAGGCTGCTGGCTCTAACGGTAAATAGAAATTGCTAGATTGCTACATAGTAATGTTACACCAACTCCTGGCCAAGATTATTACACACTAGAGCATTACAGGCATCCCCACCTTACAAATAAGATCTGTTTCCTGTTAGTAAGTCGGAAGAATAATAATTCAGTATGTAAGAGTAATAATAAAAATAATAATAATAATAATAATACAATAATAATAAAAATAACTACATATGGTACCGCACTGTACCTTAAGTCAACGAACCACTAGTCTCTCACTGGGCCTGCGGGTAATATTCTTTACTCAGTTTTGGCTAACTACATGCCCTTGCCACATGAACGTTACAGTATTATGTCCCAGAATAGCCCAAGGGGGCGGTACGCAACTTGACAGTAAAAAATTCCAGTCGTAAAAACTCATAAATTGGGTGAAAGTGTCAGCAAGTAGCAAATTACAAATCATCACATCAACTCACTTCCAGGTCCAGGCAGAGAGGGAGCGATTGTTGATGTTTCCGTTTAGATCGGGAAGTCTTGGCTGGGCTTCATAATATTTGCTGGGGATCTTCAAAGTCGAGCCACAGACTGTGTCTTTGGCTTCTATCATCACAACTAAAAGAGCCGCACAGCACACAGCCTGCAAATATAAGAAGTTGTCATTTGTTTGGCGGTTCGGCATGAATTTTCTGCTTGCCGTGTTTGTGGCCAAAGCAATCAAAAATATCCCCTCTGACAGACTAAGAAAGTTGTTTTTATCTTATAAATCAGTTGTTTAGGAAAAAAAACCCCCGAGATCCACAGCTGATAACATCTTTCAAAGTGCAAACTGAGTGTAGTTTGAAGAATTGTCTTTGAGTGTTTTATGTGACTGATAACATTTATGGAGAAATATAAGGATGTCCTGTTATATTTAATATGGACTCCCGGACTCTCCCCTCTGGCAGAAGGTTGCGGTCCATTGGGACCAAAACATCACGGCATAAGAACAGTTTCTTCCCCACCGCGGCCCGCCTGATCAATAAGGCCAGGAACACTCATCAAATCCCATTTCCCCATCCTAACACAAGTATGTTACATATGTATATATTCCACCCTGAACATACCCCATGTACATTTTTATTTATATTATATTTATATGCTTATATATCAACCTCCTCATCTCTGGCACCAACCACCAAAGCAAATTCCTTGTATGTGTGAACATACTTGGCAATAAACCCGATTCTGATTCTGATTCTTCTGTTGTGACACTACATCAGACTTATAAATTTTTGAAATTTTGAATTTCATGGATAATTTTTAGAGGTAAAATGAACAATATATCGGTCACTTTACTTGAGGGGACATGAATAATGTAGTAGTACATGCTTAATTAATGTATTAACCAATAACTAAGTGTTTGTTAAGTACTGATATTATGCTTGTTCATAATTAATCAGTCATGAGAGTTTGTGTATTCCATTCAGGCACATTCAGCACAGTTAACTAATTAGTTAATATTGGTAAGACTACTTGTGGGAGCAACAATTCCTTAACTCATTTACTACTCAATAACAAATCATGAACTAATATAGGTTTCCCCATGAAATACATGAACTGTCCTGATTGAAGAATGAGCATGGATCATTAATTAATGGTTAATTAATGCATTAGGTAAGCATGTACTACTACATTATTCATGTCTCCTCAAGTTACTTGTATATCTGACCTGAGGTATGCTGACGCGCTAAAAATCAAGGCCCTCACCCCGACCATTAAAAGTGGTCAGAAGGTAGATGGATGGATGGATGGATGGATGAAATATGAAGCTCTTAACTCACCATGGGATGGTACATGGAGTCGAAACGGCGCATCTTCTTCTTCACAGCTTCTTCTAAGGATGCAAAGTCAATTTGTCTTTGTAACATCATATCAGGCCCATATTTATCTGATATCTAGTGACATCACTAGCAGAAGAAGCGGAAAAAATACATTTTGCTGATCAGGGAAGAGATACCAGATCAAAAATGATAACCATTCATGATAAGTACATCTTACTTTACTCGTAGGTATTGGACAACATTTTGCAGCTATACTATCAGAATGCGTCATACAAAGCAAACCAGTACAATACAGCGTTTTATTTACTTGAGCACACGTAGTTACTTTACTGAACTAATGTGTGAACAGGAAGTAAATTATTCATTCTTATTTTAGTGTTCATTTACATATTCAGCAACATAACCATGACAAAAAAAGGATATTAACAAAAACGTGAAGGCAATTCTTTTAGAAGTGTGATATATTTTAAATGTCAGTCATAATTTCTTGCTTCTTCTCAAAAATTAGAATATGCTTATTTTTTTGTGTTCTGGTTAGGTGGAGCAGTGTCAACACCAGAACAAATCTGTTAGCCAGGCCCAAAGTAAAGGTAATATGCAGGCCCAGGGG